CCCCAAAACCCCAAAACCCCAAAACCCCAAAACCCCAGCTACTTTCGAGATAGTTGTAATTTCATTTAATAAAATGGCTGACCAAAATAGCAATGATGAAGAAGCAAATAGCTCACAGCGTAAGCTAAAAGACAACCCCTTGAGTGCTCCCCGATCAATAGCTTCATCTTAATGAATTCAGTAGAGAGAATTTTGCATTTTCTGTTACAAAAATTGTGAAATTTCTCGGTAAAAGCACCACGGGAGACACCTTGTTGGGATTCTTTTAATTTTCCTAGCATCCCTTAAAGTTATTCTACAATCTAGGATTAACTGCTAGATATGGACTCTAGCCTAAAGTTTGGAGTAATTCCACTTCGCTTAATTTAGTTATTTCGAGAAAGTATCCTGAGATATAGTTTGGGTTCTTTGGTGTGATTATTAATCCTTTCCAATTTAAAATTATAATCTTGGGCAGAATGAAAGCTGTTAGGTCCGTTCCTGTAGCTCCTGTTAATCATCAGCCTAGGGTAATCACTAGCATTGTTGTTAAGATCAGACATTTTAAAGTGCATCTTTGGGTATTCTCTTTTTAGCAATCGCTAACCATCAATATAGAAAGGATGCATGATGTGGACAGTACATTTTCTTCTAACTTTTGTAGTAAAAACATGTTGTTACAAAGACCACCCTCTAGTCAAGGGTATGAAACTAAAATGTAATCACAGGATTTGTAAAAGTTGCCACGAAGAAGCGATGAAGAAGAGATTTGAACAAAAGAAGCCTTTTAAATGCCCAAGATGCATAAATCCAAAAGCTTTTGAATTGATGAACGATGATATTCCTCCTAACCTCCTTGGGCTTTTCAACAAACTACAGAAATATAGAGATGTAGAAGCTAAGCTCCATCTTCAGCACTGACCAAGTCCTGGTTGTGAGAAGTTGGTACAAGTCTGCAGCGATGTACAAGGCGGTGAAAATAGTTATTGTAAGGATCCCTTATGATTTTGCATAAATGTCAAATTCTTAGCATAACCCCTGAATTTTCATTATCTTCCCATGAGTTTGAGTGTTTACAAGGGAAATATCTATCATCCTTTGCTAATGAAAGATTCTCAAGACTAAAACCTGTATCATGCAACTTCTTACCCAGATTTGCTTTAAATGATACTTTGGTTATTTTCTCTCTCTGATCATTATCTGCTGAAAACTTTCTTGGTTTTCATTCGTTTCCAAAGCAAGTGTAGCACACTATATATACTAATGCTGTTAGCAAGGGGGTGTTTTCTCCAACCCGCTTTTGTTCAGTTCCTATTAGCATAAACCGTTCAGCTTTTAGTCATCTTTTTGCTGAAAAATTTTAAACCAAGTACTTTCCAGTGAAAATTATGAGCCAAAAGTGTAAATTTATTATATTTCAAAGAAATTTCTGGTCTCTGATCTTCTCTGTTCATCCATTCTTACTTGAAATATAGTGGGAAATGAACCTAGAGGAGTAACTTGTGAATGAGGCCATTCCTTCTGTGTTCTCTGCAATAGGCCAAAACATGATGGGATAAATTGTGAAGAGTCTAAGGAGTTTTGCAGGCTATATGACAATCCTAATACTAGAAGATGCCCTGAATGCAAGAATATCTTGCAGGTGTGGAATATGATGAACAAGAAGAAGGTTGAGTGCTTGGTTTGTGACACCAAGCTGGAGCCACAAGACAAGATTCACCTCAGTCCTCTCGCATTCACACTCACCTATATCTTCATGGTATTCATCCTTCCAGTGTATCTAGGAAGGATGGTCTATAAGAGACTTAGAGCAAGGTGGGTGAAAGACCCAGAAATTCCAGATGATGATTCACTTGATGGAATAGAAGAAATCAGCGCTTCATGTACCAAATGTCTCTTAATTACTGCTGCGGTCCTCATAGGGATCCTAGTCGGTATTGGAGTAACCTTAGGAGGTCCTATCTTCTGGATCATTGGTTACATCAGAGTCTGCAAACTTCATGCTGCACAGAGGAGAGAGCAAGCCAAGTTTAGAGAAGAGTTTATTGTAAAGGAGGGAGCAGCAGAACCTTAGTGAATCAATATGAAATTTAATATTTCAACAGTGTGTTAACTCCGAGGGGTTTTGGGGTTTTGGGGTTTTGGGGTTTTGGGGTTTTGGGG